CCGCTCTTCGCCTGGAACACCCTCATCAGAGCCTCCGCCTCCGCCCCCCTCCGCTCCCTCTCCCTCTCCCTCTTCCGCCGCCTCCAAACCTCCCCCCTCCGCCCCGACAGCTTCACCTACCCCTTCCTCCTCAAAACCTGCGCCACCCCCTCCACCCTCCCCCTCGCTCAGACCCTCCACTCCCTCACCCTCAAAACCGCTCTCCTCTCCCACCGCGTCGTCGCCAACGCTCTCCTCAAGTCCTACGCCGATTGCGCCTCTCTCGCCTCCGCGCGCAATGTGTTCGACGAAATGCCTCTTAGAGATGTCGTCTCCTGGAGCTCCATGCTTGCCGCCTACGTTTCCCACAACTCCCCCGCGCATGCTTTTTCCGTGTTCCGACAAATGGGTAGCGAAAACCAAAAACCTAACTTTGTCACGTTGGTGACTTTGCTCTCATGTTGTACTAAAACCCTCCACCTCACTGCCGGTGAGTCTGCTCATTCTTACATTGTAAGGAACAATGTAGACATGGACGTTGCATTGGGGACTGCTTTGTTTGAGATGTACGCCAAGTGTGGGAAAATCGACAAGGCCATTTTGGTTTTCAATTCAATGGCTGAGAAGAATTTGAAGTCCTACACTATCATGATCTCGGCTCTAGCGGATCACGGCCGAGGGGAGGATGTTGTCTCTTTGTTTTCCCAGATGGAGGATGCGGGGTTGGAACCTGATGGGTTGTCTTTTTCTGTGATACTCTCGGCGTGCAGCCACATGGGGCTTGTTGATGAGGGAAGAATGTATTTTGATCGGATGGTGAGAGTGTATGGTATAAAGCCGAGCGTTGAGCATTATGGGTGCATGGTTGATTTGTTAGGGAGAGGTGGCTTGATTCAAGAGGCTTATTATATCATCAAGGGCATGCCCGTGGAGCCCAATGGTGTTATATTGAGGAGTTTTCTGGGGGCTTGTAGAAATCACGGGTGGGTACCTAGTTTGGATGGTGATTTTCTGGCTAAACTGGAGTCTGGGTTGGGGGCTAACTATGTGCTCACTGCTAATGTTTTCTCCACCTGTGCTTCCTGGAAGGATGCCAGTGACTTGAGAGTGGCCATGAAACAGAAAGGTTTGAAGAAAACTCCTGGGTGTAGTTGGGTGGAGGTTCAAAATTGATATACAATGTACCTTGAGGTTTGAGAAGGATCTCCACTATAAGTTTTGATACTGGGAACTGGGAAGTAATGAGTTTTAGAGCCATCTTTCTACATTCTTCATGTATTCGTTGAATTGTTAGTTGCAAATAGATAGATGCATTAGTTAGCTGTTAGGAGTTAGGGCTCACCAGGAATTGTAAATATGGATGAGTTTAACTTAGGTTTCAACTCTAGTAACTGTGCTTAATCTTCCAACTTTTCAAGTTGTGTTCATGTTTTCTGCTACAAATTTTGCATGAATGGGATATACAGAAAAGATTAGGAAGCGACGCATCTTTGACTTTGTTGCCAAAAAATATTCAAAGCCCAGACAATAATTGCGGCTCTCTGCTTTAGTAATGACTACTATTTAGAGTAGAAATGTTTGGCAGAGTTCTAGATCATTCTGGATATTGGATGTAAGAAAAACCTGATTTTTCAAGGCACTTAGACTACTGCAAATCCCAATTTGTGCCTGGTTTGGTGTACTACTATTTGCTTTTGCCATTTTGCGGTACACCTTTGTTGTTGTTGCTTTTTTTTTTTTTTTTGTACACACCATTTTGCTATATATGGCTATAACTGGTTTACAATTTGAATAAAAAAAATCGTTTTATGGAAGAAGAAATCTGCAACTTAGTTCCATAAGCCTAAATACAATAAGAATCACAAATTTAAATAGTAGTGCAACAATGACCATATATACTTTTATAAATAAAAAAATGTTGAAATGGATACTGATTTTAAACGTTATAAAGATGAAAACACAGTGTCAAATGATGATAATTGTCATAATGAGGTTAGCTGAGACCAATTCTAACTTCTAAATGCAATTTCTTCAACAAAGATGAGTAGTATTCGGGACTTGATTTAATATCAAATTATAAAGTAAACAACTAATATTGTACACATATGTCAAAGTTATATTGCAGTTTAAATTATGGTTGTATTTCTTAATCTATAAACTATACATTTGCTTGTAGGCAAGTTTGTTAATACTTTTCTTTATTGGCCCATTACTCCTCTCCATTTATATAACATATTTTTCTCTTTATTTTATTTTTTTCATTCTTTATCCAAATAAATCATAAAAGAAAACACATTGTTTCAAGTTTACTTTTGGCCCATTTTTATTTTTTTTGTGCGCTTTTTCGGCCGCAATTAATTCTACAAAATCAGGATGATTTAAAATCAATTCTGTCCAGAGCCGTCCAAACATGTTAATCAAACAGACTGCAATCAGCATTTCTCACTTTTACCGAAAAAGAAAGGTGCATGAGGTTATTCACAGGAATGTTTCCTCCCTGCTTTTATTAGAGACAAAAAATAATTTCTTGATTAAACACTATAACTATTCCATACAAAAACATTTCGTGAGCTTGACGTTCTCGTATCGTGTTTGTATTACAAAATAGTGCAGTGCATAAAACTGCATATACTCAACAGCTGAGACAGTTTCCATTTTTATCACATGTTACTGTTTGACCCATGCGTGTAGTGTACGCATATAATAACTTATCCTCATGAGTCAAGAGATAGGTTTTTATGGTCTCTTGCTCAAGAATCTCTTTATTTGTGGGTTGTGTTTTCTTACAAAAAAACTTATAATTAAAAACAATTTAATATTTACTATTATCAAATTAACTTTTACTATATAGCAAAATTTGTTAAACTGTTAAATATGACATCCGACAAATAAAGATTAATTCAAGTTTAATTGGTTTAAAGTTTGAACTTTTAGGATTATATTTCTCATCCGGTCCACACCCACTCTATATTGAGTATTTGTGATAATTTATGACATTAGAGCCTGATGATCTAACTTGATCAAACCAAAAGAAAGATTGGGCCTTTGATATTAAAGAAGAACATGCCCAAACAAACTTGAGAATAATACAACTATGATGACCTTTAACTAACAAATAGATCAAACCCAATTGGACTTGAGAGAGAATACTGTTGGATCCGGTCCACACCCACTTTATACAAGCCCGGTGCAAAATTCCAACAAAATTATATATAAAAAATGTTTCCTGATTTATTTAAAACATAAAAAGACTAACTAATAAAAACAAGAAAGGAACGATATTTTTAATGAAAACTTATCCAAAAGCTCCTTAAGAGCATCTACGATTATTTATAAGTAACTCTCATATACTTTAAATGGGTTTCACAGTACCAAATTACTCATAAATAATTTATACTATATTTTTACAATTTTTGTTTTAATAAAAATTATTTATAAGCACCTTACACTCCACTTGTAATTTCACAATCCCAAACACTAGAGCTTTAGAAAGTAATGAATGTAAAAAGATTTCAACTTTTCTTACCAGGACTGATCACTCCGGTGACAATTTTTTATAATTTTTATCCCTTATTTTTAATAGACACCTACCGTCAGAGTTGCTCTTAGTCACCAAAATACATAATATTTTATAGGCTTAAATATGTTTTTAGTCCCTCAAATTTAAGACAAATTTGTTTTTGGTCCCTCAAATTTAAAACTGTTGTTTTTAGTCCCTGTAATTTTTAAAAATCTTATTTTAGTCCTTTAGGTCACCAATAACATATTTAAAAATGACTAATTAATACAGTTATGCAATATCAACCAGATTTAATGTGATATTTTCACTGATAAGGATACTAATAAGTAAATTTTATGCAATAATGTTTGATAAATTTCTTAACAAAATTTGAATATAAGGACTAAAATAATATTTTTTGAAATTACAAGGACTAAAAACAACAATTTTAAATTTGAGGGACCAAAAACAGAATTACCCTAAATTTGAGGGACTAAAAACATATTTAATCCTATTTTATATCATCTCCGAAGATAATTGGTAAATGGTCCCATTGAGCAGAGTAATATTATTGATTCATAAGCACATGTCCTCCCCCACAAAGGGTTGTTATTTAAGCTTCTAGTAATAATTCCACATCTAATTACATAAGGTACGTTAAAAGAAAAAAAGGAAAAAAGAAAGACATGATTGTTTGTATTTGTATCGATGTCACAGAGCATGATGCATAAATACAAAGGGACAGCTGGCCTAATAACACAACACAACAGAGACACAGTATGGGTTCTTCTTCAGGTTTGAGGTTCCCAGAGCACTGGGTATTGATGGGAGCCACTGCACTAGTTTGTGGGTTTGTTGGGTACTTAGTGTATGATGCTGTTATGGCCACTGCATCTGAGTTGCTACAACGTTTGCTGGTGATTTCTCCACTCTTGTTGATCATCATAGTTCACTGGCTCTCCACTGGTACCCACATAAGCTTCCCCATGCCAGGATCTGAGCCCAGTGCCATCCACAGAGCTGGAGGTTCCCCTTGGGGTGTTGCTTTTCTTCTTCTTTTGCTTTTCTTTCTCATTTCCTTCCAACCTTCACTGCATCACCTTATTTCTTAGCATGTCTCACTCTCACTTATGTAGTAGGAATATGCTGCTTCTAATTTTAGACTTGATGTGCCCATGTGGCTACATTACATAATCAAGCTGTTTCTAAGTGAACTTGGCTGTAATCTTGCAATGTCTCTGCCTATAAAAATAAAAAGCTCCATGCTTTTCCCTTAGAGCAATGTTCTGAAATTACTAAGAAATTGGACTAACGTACGTATCTTTTCTTTTGGACTTCCTCTGTTCGTGTTCATGTCTTAATATGCAATTTAAATAAGTATCGTATTACTTGATGCTAATTTTCTCTCATGGTACAAAGAGTTCAATTCTTATGATTTATAATTACATACTGGGAAGTTTCTTTCTGCTTTCTTGCTGATAAAATATTTTTGCATACGAAACTAAGGATTTAACCTTTTCTTATCATGAGCAATAAATAAAATAAAATAATTTAATTAATATATACCATCGGTGTAATTTTTTTTATACCATCAATTAATTAGAAACCATTATTTATTTAACTTTTCATGTAATTATTGCAATCGTTAACGGGTTTACGTTCCGTAATTTACAATTAGATAATAGGATAAAATAATTTATACATAACTTATTTTTTCAAAATAAAAAAAATATATATATTTTCCAAATTAAAATACCTCGTATTTTAATTAACAGGGAGCTGTGCCTGAAGAATGCCAAGAGCCAATTTTTGGATTATTGCTCGGAGAGGGATTTATTTTTAGTGTTCGATAATACATCAAATTACATTCTTTAAACGAAATTTATATTCAAAAAAAAATATTTATATAGGCAGCAGCTAACATATATATAAAAATGTTTGATTTCAATTCTTAAATTAAATGGTTTAGATTAGATTGAAAAATTTAAAATAAACTATATATTATGATTATAAGTGTTATCACTATTATCATTGTCATCGTCATTATCTTTATTATTGTTGTCATCGTTGTTGTCTCTATTACTATCATTATTACAATCCTTAACGAGTAATAGTTACTTTTGTTTTTGTTAATTAAATAGTTTATAATTTTATAATTTTTGTATAACTATTTTTTTTTTGTTCTAATTACGTTTTTTTCCAACTCTATTGGAGCATAGATTAAAATAAACTATATATTATGATTAATCTTGTTCATGATATTGTAATTATCATTGTCATAAAGAATCTTTCTACACAATGAAAATCGAACACAAAATCTTTACCAAATAGATTGCTTTATAATATGTGAATGCAATGTACTTAATTGTTATGTCAACCTATCAAGTTCTATCTACTTTGTATTTAATATATACAAGAACGAAAAAGTTATATTATAGGAAGGTATCTACTTTCATTTATCATCTTCTACATAAGTTTTAGGCTACAAATACAACACCATTTTTAAGATAAAATAAAGATTTAAATATATTTTTAGTCTTTTAAACTTAGGATAATTTTTTTTTATCATTTAAATTTAATTTTTTTGTCTTTAGTCGTGTAATTTTCAAAAATCTTGTTTTAGTCTCTCATATCATCAATTACATATCTGAAAGTGACAAATTGAGACACTTATACAATATCAGTTAGGTTTAATATAATATTTTCACTAATAGAGACATAAATATACATATTTTATGCTACAATATTCGATAGATTTTTGAATAAAATTTGAATATAAAGACTATTTTTTTTTTGAAATTATAAGAATTAAAAAGATTAATTTTAAGTTTGAGGAACTAAAAATAAATTTATCTTAAATTTGAGATACTAAAAACATATTTAAGTCTAAAATAAAATTAAAAGTCAAAATTGATCTATACTGTTTTTTTCTTCTAATTTTTACCTTCCTTAAAAAATGATATAAAAAAATAGTATATATTAGCCCAGCAGGCTGGCTACTGGGCTTGGGTCAGTCCATTACAAACCCATTTTATGAGCAGTTAAATACCTCAAACTCATTCAGTGTAGAAAAAAATTGTAGAGGTGTTTTAGTCGTTAACGAATTTGCAGTACTGTGCTAGTTAAGTAGTTATCATTTAGTTACGGTTACTAATATCTATGGACCCTTTTTTGCTCTTCTGAATCATCATATTATTCTTTATTCTCCAGAAAGACTATAAGTTGCTTTTCAATATGGACCAAAGCAAAGGAATAGTTATTCTGTCACTTCTACAAGTAGTTCTGTAGAGTGCTTTCTAACTGAAGTGGCCAAGGGAAAGGATTTGAATAAATCCAAAATGAGTCATAGATATTGAATTATATAAAAACTCTCTTCATTGGAGATAGAAAAACATTTTCTTTGTTTACACTTGTAATTGATTTAGGCAATGTTGGTTTGTTTCACCTCAAAAAAATACTTCTGTACATGACAATTTTTAACGTTAAACTTTTTTAACTACTGATAACATTGAAATAACATGAATTTAATTGTGATGTAGTGCAAAATTTCTACACTGTTGACAAGTTAAAAATAACTCTGGATCTGAGTGTTCATAGAGGTGGCCAAATCATGAAAAAACAACTTCGATTAAAAAAGAAATAGAGGCTAGACTTGTTAGCTTCGGAGGGAAGGACTTGAGAGTAGAGTGATAAGGAGGGAGTTTAAATTACCTCAACTATAAATTACTAATTACTAACATTTATCAATAAAAAATAACATATAAACAAAAATGTTACATATAAATTTTAGACTAAAATGAATAATTAAATATTTTAATTTTTAATTTTTATAAAACTATTTCAATTATTTTAGTGTATATATATATATATGTGTCTTTTAAATTTAATCTCTCTCTTTAGAAAAGTTCTATATTAAATAATAATGCAAAAAATGAAATGTCATACCATTGTGTTACGTATTGTCTATGTAGGCATACATAGTTTTATAATAACTAAAAAGTAAATTCCTAAATTATAGAGACTAAAATAATTATAATAATATACTGAATTTGAAAGAAAAAAAAATATCAAATTATAAGAATTAGTTAAAAATATTTAATTTAAAAAATAAAAATCATTGTTGATTACTATCATTATAAATTCTTCTTTTTCTCTTTCTCTCATTTTAACTATATAAGTCACCATTAAATAAATCAACCTCAAACCTAAACACATTTAAGTCAAATCGTAACCTAAAACTGTAATTTCTTTCAATAATAATGCGAATTGCAATTTCCACCAACTATGAAAACCAATGACAAGAAGATGATAAACTAAGAACTACTAATTAAGTCATCACATTTGTCATTTAGCAATAAAAACATTAGCAACATGTTACATTTTCTAATATAACACAGCCGCAACATGCCACCGCCATCAAAGCAAAATCGTCGTTGTTGTCACTGGACAAATGATAAGAAGAAAAAAGAGTTTTTGATGCCTCCTTTAGCTTTGAAATTTTTCAACAGACATTGATGAATTATTTATTTTATTTTATTTCGACAAATATTAATTTTTAATTATTATGTTAATTGATGAATTGTTTATGATTCAGCATTAAAAAGACAATGATACTAATAATATCAAAAATATTGGTTAGAATAATAGAAGGAGAAGATGAATAGTGAAAGGAAAAAAATTATAGGATTTACAACAATAAGGGTGAATGAGTTTTTTAATTTTTTTTTTTCATATTTCATTTTCGCTTTTTTAAGTTCGCATAAAAAATATTTGTCATTTTAGTCCATAAGACATATGTTTACATGAGAGAAAAAATATTACATTGTTTGTAAGGTCATTTTTAACAAAACTTTTTTAACGACAAAAAAAATATTATAAGAAATAAAATGACGAAAATAGTTTCATTAGACTAAAAAACTAAATATTCAAATTAAAATGACTAAAAAATATTTAAACCTAAATTTTAAAATAATCATTACAAAAGTCACTAATTTTACCATTAATAATGATATATCAACTGTTTAAAATTTATTCTATCAACACATTTTAAATAAATTTTTTATTTTACTTTATTTTTTAAGCTAGATCAGTACTTATTAAATTTTTCCAAGCATCATTTTTTATTAAAAACCATTTTCCTTTGAAAAACCCAAACAAATTTCTAATTAGATATTTAAATAAAAATTGATTGATTACGATTTATTGTTGTTTTTTTTTTAATATATTTTTAAACCAAGTGATAACATAGCATTCATTGCCAATACAGTTTGAATAATAACTTGTAAGGATTTTGTCTATCTAGCACAAAATCATACATAAGGGAATGGGAGTGCAGGAGAAATCCTTTCTCTGTTCTAGCTTACTCGTTGTGTTAAGGCTTTGCAAGTTACAGGTAAAAAAGATTGAGAAATTCTCATAAGATTCTCTGTCTCTCCCAACCCATCAAAACAAGTGCTGAGGTGGGAATCTTTTTCATGGTGACAGTGACCAGAGCATGGTCATTAATGTCAGCAACGACACTTTTGCTAAAGGCTGCTTTAGACAACAACACTCGCTGAAAAGCCTTCACACTTCACATTTGTGACCCAGCTTTTCACATAAATGATAAAACAAAATCAAATCTCAAGGCCCAAATCTGTTTCTTTTTTCTTTTTCTTTTCACCCTTGCCATAGTGCATGCAATCCTATCTATTATTGAAGCCACCAAACATTGCAATGCATGCGACCTTATATCAATAACTTCCATGCACGTTTCCAACAAGTAAATGTAAATACCTTTATAATAAGATTCAGGAGGCAGGAGTGAAACATTTATATAAAACCAATGTCTAGTGTTAATTACAAAATGAGATTTATGAACGATAAAACCAAGGTAAATAAGGTGACTAGTAGATAACTTGGCCATGATGAACATGAACTTGAGTTGCTATCATACCAAGATGGCTTTATTCCTGAAAGGTCTTCAAGTGGGCCACCAGCAACATAGTTATCAGTTCTCTGTCGCATGTTCAAACAAGAAGGGATTTCCAAGTATGAAGAGAGGTTCTTGTTTGGCTGATCACCGATACAGAGCTCACTGTTTCCTCTTAAGTCCAATCTTTTACCTAACTTCTTAATGAAGTCACCAGGGAGCTGTAGGACCCCACTCAGCTTGTTGTGGCTGATATTCAGTTGATCTAGGTTTGGGAGTGACCCCAAATTTGGAGGAACTTGACCACTGAGGCTATTGTTACCTAAGGAAAGTGCTGTAAGGTTTTTCAAGGAAGAGAAAGAGTAGGGTATAGGACCAGTTAATCCACACCCTGATAAGCTAACTGATTTGAGCCTTCTAAGCTTCCCTATAAACTGGGGTATTCCTCTTTTAATAGGGTTGTCATCCATGAGTAAATATTCTAAAAGCTTTAAACTTGACAAACTCTCATTAATGGGCCCCTCAATAAAATTATGACTCAAATCAAGCAAGACTAACCTCTTGAGATTTCCTATATCAGGAGGAATGCTTCCACTAAGCATGTTGGAATGCAAATCCATCTTTTGGAGAAGCTGAAGTTGTCCAAGAGAATAAGGCAGAACCCCTTCAATTGCATTGCAACTAAGGTCCAATATGGTCATGCTTTTCAGGCCTCCAATTTCCTTTGGGATTTGACCACTTATGTTGTTGTAACTAAGGTCAAGTTGCTCTAGGCTAACCAAACCACCAACCTGGCTTGGGATTTTTCCCTGTAAACTGTTCTGGGACAGGCTAAGGACCCTAAGACTGGCAACATCTCCCAAACTTGTAGGAATTTCTCCGAAGAGAGATGGATTATTCTCCAAAGCAAGGTTTTCCAGGGAAGAGAAAGGACCAAAGAGAGTTTTGGTAAGAGTGACTGGTGAAGCAACAAAACAGTTAAAAATTGAAAGGGTTTTTATATACTTGAGTTTTGTCAAGGACTGTGACACATAAGCTGAGGGTTTGCAAGGTGGGGAAACTATATCAGGACCAATGTGGATTTTTGTGACATGAAAGATTGGTGGGTTATTGCTAACTTCACACTCAACACCTGGCCATGGAGTATCTGTGCATGGCTGTGGATGTGCTTGTGCCCAGTCAGGGTCTTCCAGAAGAGCATCCATCACTTCAAACAATCCCAACAGTTCCTCCTCTTCCATTATCATGTGCCCCCTATGTAAACCACTTCCCATTGACATCATTTCACCACCAATCATAATGAACCAAACAACAAGAAGAGACATGTATGCCATTTAGACACTAATGGAATTGCAAAAGCTGTGGATTAAGAGCCAACTGAAAAGGCAAGTTTCTCTTTCCCTATTTAAGC